CGTTTTCCGTTTTTTTTTTTTTTTTCTTCTTTTCCTTTTCCTCACACCTTGCATTCCCTAGTACCTCTTGTTATAACAGTTTTCCTTTTTGACATCCAGTCAGCTACTTCTTACCACTTGTCTTTTTGCGCCTGCTCTTCGTTTTTACGACATTCACTGCCTCTTTCGAAATACAATGCAAATGTGCTAGGCGAGCAGGGAACTCGAACGATTTCCGTGGCTTCTCTCAGAATTTACGTTGCTAGGCTCATACAACCATGTTTCAAGCTGATTTGGTCTTCGATCATCACAAAACATCTGGGGCGGCAACGCAGTGTTCTTGCACTACAAGCAGAACCGATTGGAATTTGCTACGATGCAATCAATGTCGTAGTGGTTGAGCCGTGTTACCTCATTATCGATCGTAATTGCTCCTGCAAAGGAAAAAAAAAATGAAGAAGAAGAGAAAAAAAATGAAGAAGAAGAAAGAGAGTTGGAAACAGTTGTGTTGAGGCATTGCGAGAACAGAATGACCTGCAAAAAAAATGAAAAAGTGAATGGGGCCACCCGGGGATTGAACCCGGGACCTCTCGCAAGAATGCTCAGGATGAACCCTAAGCGAGAATCATACCACTAGACCAGCGGCCCTGATTGGTTGTTGACAGCTGCAGCAATACCAGTAACCATGAAGGCAAAACACAGCCCACAGCAGCTGAGTGAAGCTGGACACTGCAATACAAACTCGAGAAACCTGCTCGATATGATCAATGTCAGCATCGTGAAAGGTCTTTTTTTGATCACAATATGATCTTCTCTAGAGTGGGCGCGGATGCTTTCCATGGCGCTTGTTGCATTCCCTAACGCTTTTGTTTCCAGTGCGTACACGCCGAAGAAAAAACTGGACATATCCACACCGCTTTACCATCGAATCATCGCTCTCTGCCCAACACACGACTCCTTCTCATTTCCCAAATCGGAGGCATCTCAACATCTGGTTGGTCAGCGTACCTGCTAGTCCGATCTGTGTAAGCGCCTTCATGCCTTTTGCAGTGGATCAAATCTGACAGCTCTTGCTTGATTTCATCTGGAGGTTTGGGATTTGACGGAAAACACATGTTTACAGATACAAGGGAGGCAGGTCGCCCTTATGAGCCCCATGGGCGTCTTTTGGTTTCTGGAACACTTCCAGCTCCGGTTTGAGGCCTAAAAACAGCAAGTGAATGTCTGTCACGTCTTCCAGTGAGATGTCTTGTTGGATAATTGGGGCCGCTGATCTGGTGGTACGCTTCTTTCGAGTTTCGTCTGTCGAGGTCCATCTTGAGCACTGAGCTCTGCAGGCTTCACAAACTTTCACCCGAGGTCTTCCGTGACGTTCAGGCTTCTCGTGCAAAAGTCCTTCCAAGAGCATGGATGCGCTAAGGCCTGCTCAACAGGTCAATATGTACAGTATCAGAAACACCGGCTCAGCATTGACCGCGCTTGTTGGAAGCACTGTGGTCCCCGATACCGACCTAATGGTTTTCAGCCCCTGTCGAACTTTTAGCTCCCGAATCGTCGGGACTTGTGCTAACCCAAATTTGGGACGCCCGGCGGCAAAGTTGTCCACGTCAACGCGTGTCAATGGTGAGCACGGCAGCGAGGCATTCGAGCGAGGCGAAAACGGGGTAAGGGCAAGGCTGGGACTGGAGCTAGCGGATCCTGTCACCGATCGTGATGCTGGCACCGCGCCTGTTAGACTTGTTTATGGGGTTGGAGAGACCGATCAAGGGGAAAAATGGCATATATACTGCTGCAATAACTTGTAATCGTCATTCATGTTGTACTTGTCATTGTCGTCTTTCTCAACTTCTCTTATTCTTCCATTCGTTCTCTCTCGGGCTGGTTTCCGATTCTGCTTCACGTTCCTTTAGCCTTGGTGTGCTGTTTCTGTTCCCATTTTCTTTCTAGGCGTAGCATACGCCCATCTCCGCATCGGCCGTCGCTTGCTATTCTCACCTGTTTCTGCGGGTACAAGCCCAACCAGGAGCCATGCGTCATCCACTCTCTCTCCGCTTCTTCGCCAACTTCACTATTACCATTCTCCTCGCCTGCAACATAGTCTCTGCCTTCCATGTTGAAGATCTCCTTTACACCTTGCGATCGCTGAGTAAGTCTTGAATACCAAGCTCAAAATACCGGAAGCTCTAAGCACTGACGACCCCGTCCCTCATCACAGAAGATGCGCCATCCGGTAGCGCGGTTCTCAAAGCCCGCAGCTCGAACCTCACCGCTCCTGCTTCCGCTCCGGCTTCCAATGGCACTGTTGGCTCCTCCCATCCTGACTCGACGGACAAAAAGGAAGGGGGACTTGGCCTAGGTGGTCTGTTGCATAACCTCTTCGGCCGCCATGATACGTCCACCGCCATCACTCTCAATATCCGGGCCTCAAATGGCACCGTAACCCCTGCTGGTGTTTCCAACGGCACTATCCTTGGCGGTGCCTCCCATCCAGACGCGGCAACCAAAGGAGACCACGGATCCCTTGGACTTGGCGATCTCCTTCACAAGATCTTCAATCACCACAGCACGCCCACCATCCCTGGTCCTCTCGCTGGCCGCAGCTCGAATAGTACTGTCCTTCCCGCTGCCGTATCCAACGGCACTGTTCCCACCGGCTCTTCCCACCCGGATGCAGCAACAGAGAAGGGACAGGGGCTCGGACTGGGTAGTCTTCTGAGCAAGATCTTTGGCCGTTCTAAACCTGTGCCTGAGTCTGTCGAGCCTGAAGATGTTGACGAGGTTGACGGCGAGGTTGGTATGCTTATGAGTCTCAACCGCCGTGCCAAAAAGGACGGGGAGAATAGGCTGAGCCGTGAGGAGAGGAGGAAGAATCGGGAGAAGAGGCGTGTGAGAAGGGCCATGTCTGCTGCAACTGAGTCTAAGAAGGAGGAGAGGCATGTTGATCGCTCCAGAGTGTTCCGCGGGTGAGGGTGGTGGCTAGTCGTCGGCCAAGCCAAGATGAGCTTCGGCTATGTTGTCAAATATTCCATAGACCGTGATGGAAAAAATAGATGGTATGCCGAAATGAAGGATCCAATGTCGCTCGCTAGCCACCCACCAATTGACGAAGTCCGAGTTAACAGAGAGTGCCGAACCTCATGTCCTCCTAGTATCTCGTGAGTCTTCCTCATTATTAGGTCAGATGGTCTGCTGTGCCGCTGACAGCACAACTCTGTGAAGATCAGCGATGCGTCGGATACTCGTCCAGCTATAGCAGTCCAAGTCCGCCATGCTTCCATGGGAGGGTGACACAACCAAACCCAGAGACTCCTGTCTCCTTCGTGGTATCCCGATGCTCTCGAGCCGTGATGTTGACCAATCCACAGCTTCGTCATCGTATATGAGCTTGGGAGGTCGCCGGTGACCTGTTGTTATACACTGCATCGAACGCAGTCTGAGTATGTGGAGGATGCTTGAACCGAAGCGCTAGTTCGTTGCGAGGTAAACACCGATCAGGCGCCAGCGGTAGCAACAACGCTCCAACAGCACCACTCCACTCACCTCTTCTTGACATTCTCCATCCACTCCTTGCTCGCCTTCGTCCCATCATGTGCACACCTAAACAGCTTCCTCTCCCACTCATCCAACCCCCTCAAAAAGTCCTCACCCGCACCTCCCACGCCCAAATTGCTGGCATTATCGTCCTTTGTCGCCTTCCCCTTGCCCTTTCCTCCGGCTCCTCCTCCATCTCGACCATGATACGAACTCCCACCCCCACCCACCTTCCTAGCATGCAACGCAATCTCCGCCGCCCTCGAAACAAACGTCTTCCTTAACACCGCGCTCAGCTCCGGCTCCTCCGACAACTCCATCATGTGCGTGGCGAGGGCGTAGAAGTGGGCGCTCTGATCGCGCAGCGGCACGGAGCGCGGGTCGGCTTTCAAAGCTTGAACAACGTCGTTACCCAGTGCCGGGGGCAGGTCGAAGGTGATGAAGGATTTGCTGGACTGTGATGGGTCGTCCATGTCGATGGTGCCCGTGTTAGCAATGGCGAGCATTTCAGCCAGCCAGATGGGGAGAGCGACGCGCGAGCCGGACTTGAGGGTGTGCCCCGGTTGGTTGTCGAGATAGCCGAGGTCGGGGACGTCGATTTGAAAGGTACAGGGAATTTTCTAGGGAGGATTTTCGGGTTAGTTGGTGTTTTGGCGATGGGTGGTACTATTTGGAAGGGGGGGGAGATGGAGGGTACCTCTGCGTCGGTCAGGATCGCATCGATATCGTAATATGACATGGTGGTAATATTGGTAGCTTCAATTGGACCGGCCTGGCGTTTGGAGATGAGTTGGGCAGTGTTGAGTTGGCCAGTTGACCCAAACCAAGTTTTCGTCAGGATTTCGATATCAATCTAGGTTCTGGGGAGACGCGCTCTGGAAGTGGGAGGAGACGCGACGAAGAAAGAGCGCCGCCATGCCAAGAGACCGCAATTGAAGCTGTGGCTTATACACCACTCAGAGACGGCTTCTTGTTACCCTTCCAGCCACACCGAGCCATAGAGGTACCCACCGTCCCGAGCCACCTCTTCCCCTCGGCGGGGTGGGGCTATGACGGAATTAGTTGGAACGGTTTCCATGGAGCTTCCATCATCATCCGAGCTTATTAGATAAGTAAATAGAAAGAGACATTTCCGATAGTCGCAATCAGTCATCCAAATCATTTACTTCGAGGTAGCCGCCGTCCCATTGATCATCTAATTGTCCTTCTCTTGCACCTTTAAACCTAACCAGTTCACCTAATTTCTAGTCTCTCTCAATAAACAAGCCGTCACAATGTCCGCATCTCTCTTCCGCGCTACTCCGGTCGCCCGCAGCGCGCTGCGCGCCGCCAGTGCCGTCAAGCCCGCCGCTACCTTTGTCCGCGGCAAGGCCACTCTTCCCGACCTTCAGTGTAAGTCTTCCTCCAAGAATCGCTCGCTTTACGACGCCTCTCAGTCCACCCCATCCTCCCTCCGCTTCCACGAGGAACCCCAATGGCTTTAGGAAAAAATCACCGAGCTAACTCCCTCCCCTTTCCCTAGACGACTACGGCGCCCTCGAGCCCTACATCTCCTCCAAGATCATGGAGCTCCACCACTCCAAGCACCACCAGACCTACGTCAACGGCCTCAACTCGGCCCTGACCACCATCGCCGAGGCCGAGTCCAAGGGTGACTTCACCAAGGCTGCCTCGGTCGCCCCTCTCCTCAACTTCCACGGCGGCGGCCACCTCAACCACACCTTGTTCTGGGAGAACCTGGCCCCCGCCTCGCGCGAGGGTGGCGGTTCGCCCGACGGCGCCCTCGGCAAGGCCATCACGACTGAGTTTGGTTCTTTCGAGAGCTTCGTCAAGCAGATGAATGCTGCGCTGGCCGGTATCCAGGGCTCGGGTTGGGCGTGGTTGGCCAAGGATAAGGCCGCGAACGGCAAGCTGGCGCTGATCACCCGTGCTAACCAGGACCCTGTTACTGGCAACTACGTGCCCCTGTTGGGCATTGACGCGTGGGAGCATGCGTACTACTTGCAATATGAGAACAGGAAGGCGGAATACTTTGAGGCGATCTGGAACGTGATCAACTGGAAGACTGTTGCCAAGAGGTTCGAGGCTTAAGTTGTTTATACCTTGGGGTGGAGTAGCAGAGGCGTTGTAATTAATGTGTTGCTACTATGCAGATGCTTGTGATTAAGTGGTGGCTCTGTTGTGTGTGATATTATTTTCAGTTACGAGAGGGTCACCAAGTGTCATGTCAACGGTGCAGGAAGGAATTTGACGGTGACGTTAGAGCGAGCTGCTAGCACGTTCTTGTCAATCATGGGTTCACCTCGACATGGAGCTCTTGAGTAGAGACAAAATCTGGACATTTGGGTTTTACTACGAGATATTCGATTTTAGCGCAAGGGGTACCCTGCTATACATAATTTTTAGTCTGGTACCACTGGCGGCGACGTGTAGTATTCCCGATGAAAAAGATGGAAACTCGGGAATTACTGGGCGGTCTGGAAATTGTCGTAGAGTATAAGCTGTTGAGGACTTGATTCTAGGACAAGATCAGTGTATTGGCCTCTCAAGAGTCAAACACTGAGCGAGCACAGACGCAAGCCATGAGAAAGGATTCGAGAGTAGCAACAGAGAGATATTGCGGAGACGAGAAGTACAAGTCGACTAATGTAGAATGATTTCGTAGTGCGTGATCTTGGTTGATCAGGGTTGAAGGAGGCTAAGAGAGTGTCCGGAGAGAGCTGAGGTGAATGAAATGCACGATCGTGATGGGTGACCGTCACCGGAAGGGACTATTGAGGTGAATTGCCATGAAGTCTCTGGAAAATAAAAAGATGGGG